GGGGGGGGGGGGAGGGGGATAGCAAGAAAACGGGGCTAAAAATGTATTATTTCGCGCGGATTACCGTGAAAACGCGGCACGCACGCACATGCGTTTAAATCGCGCGTGCAGTCGCGCGTGGCCAAATATTTCCCGGCCGGGCGATGAAAGCTCAGTAAAATGGCCGAGTCGTTCTCGAATCTTCCCCCGGCGACAGATTTCGGCGAATGGTTCCGGCAGGACGCGAAAGACGCACCGGCATAATCCGAAGCGACGGATTACAGAGTACGATTAATGACCTGAGAATCGGCGGGCCAACTCGATCAATCATTGGTGACCGGACCGGCTGTCCAACACCGGCGCAATTAAGCTCCGGGACAATTACTGCGCTCGAGCGGCTCAATCCGCGAGTCCGAAAAGATTTCTACCCCCGGTATAAACGCAACTCAGTAATCGGGTGGCGAGCGAGATCGGACCGAGCGACTGAAATAGGACGATCGTAAAAAAACAGAATATAACTCCCCCGATCATGCCGAGATAAATAATACATTTTTTCGCGACACGGCAAGGGTAATCAATATATGATATACGCTGATTACTTCAATATTTAGGAAAGGGTTAAGAGGGATTTTATGTGTAAGAAAACAATCGGGATTCGCTTAACGTGGAAAGCTGATTAATCGTGTACGTTTGGCCGGGGCCCGCACAGAAGTGTTCTCGGATTTTCTCCTGTACAGCACAGACTCCGATCAAAATATCCAAGGTAGTCCCAAAATAGGGGAAGAGTACTAAAAATAAATATTAAGTACTAAATATCAAACACTAATACTAAATACTACACGTTAAATACACTTAGGTCCTCCGGCAAGCTTAAAGACAGTACGTGCCGTGATTACGTTACGACAAACGTGATTAGGTTTTGAAAAAAGGCCCGTTCCACCTCTTCTTAAATCATTCATATTACGCACCGGGTGTACCAGGAATCCGGGAACCCCATTCGTTATGCGGGTCGCGATAAAGCGGGGGACAAATCGAGATCCGAGGAGAGCGCGTCTCTCGTGCGCAGTATATCTCCGTGCGGACCAACTAGCCGATATGAAACAGCCAGCGAGTCCTTCGTCCCGTGGGAGGAGGAGGGAGAGGTTCGTGCACGCGCTACGCGACACTTTATAAAAGGTCGAAGCAGCTGTTCCGCTTAGTTTAATATCGACGGCACGGCCGGCGGTAGCGCGCCTTTCATCCCTGCAGGCGGTATAAATGCATGCGATACGTCGACGGATCGTGGGTACATTGGTAGCGTGCACGTAGACGGTATCTGCCGCAATGAATCTCCCATCGGGTCTCTCGCGGTGCGTACATACCGCGGAAACACCGTTACGGCGCCGCGGCACGGAAACCGGAGCGCGGAATACCGGATTCCGGGGAGCGCGCGCCGCGGGTATCCGAGCGACGCGAGTCCGTGCACCCACACACGCGCCGCTCCGAGTATCTCCGGACGATAGGAATCGCAAGGATGCAAATCCCGCGCACGTCTTTTAGAAACGACGACGATCCCGGCGGTCCCGACGATAACCGACGGCGAAAGAGAGGGCTGGCGGCAGGGAGGAAGCGAGGGAGAGAGAGAGAGAGAGCAATCGCGAGTAGTCCAAATATTTATGTTCCGCTATGCCTTTGAACGAGACCTTTTGACGCTGGCAATTCGTATTATTGCGCATCCGCTGCGGCGCTCGAAGCTCGAGCAAATTCGCCAGGTATTCCGGGATCGGCGGGCGAAAGAATGATAACGTTGCCGACTAATACGGACCTCGAAGAGATAGACGGAGAGAGAGAGAGAGAGAGAGAGAGGGACGTCGAAGAGAAACGTCCGAAGGGTGTCTTCGCGGCTTTTGAGGTCCTTCGCGATGACTCCTCGCGAGGGGGGGTGTATTTTGCGTATCTGCACTTTGCGCACGTATATACTCGAACTTTTCGCCGGGATATACAATTCTGCGTTTAAACGAAACACCGCGGGATTTTCTCCCATCCGCGTGAAAATAACGCGCGCGCGCGCGCGCACGAACATAACGAGCTGCAGGAAATTTCGCGATGCTAAATTAGATTATAAACAACGGGGAACTCTATCGATCCGGGGGTAAGTGGGAGGAGCGATGAGAGGGGAAGAAAAGGCTGGTATAAAGCTGGTATTATGTAATTCCGACTAATAACGATCCCGAAGACGACTCGCGGAGATTCAATTATCGTTCCCGTCGTCGCGCGGGCGTTAAAGCGAAAAGGAAATTATTCAATTTTATGCACTTCTCGTGTCACGGCATTGTGTCCGAAGGGCGCGTAAGAAATTCCCGTCACACCGGGGTGAGGAGAGGAGGGGGGTGGCGGTGGCACCTTATTAACGAAGGATCTCCCTCGTTCCCGGCGCCGCCGAGTTATCGGCTTATTCGTTCGAATTTATTCGCGCAGCGTAATGCATAACAGGAGGTGCTGTGTTTTATTTTACACGGGTGACGCATGGGGCCATTTGCAAATGAAGCCACCCGGGCGGAGAGAATGCACTTCGATGTATTTTTAATGAAGTCGGCCCAGACTCCCCGCGAGAGCAGCTGTGTGTGTGTGTGTGTGTGTATTGTATTACCAGCCGAGCACCCGCGCGGAGTAAAATTAAAGTTCCCGAATGGCGGATTGTTTTAATTAGTATTGCATACGCGCGCGCGCGCCCGTGCCGAAAATAACGACTATGCGCAATGAATATTAACGACGTACTTAAAAAATATGCCGGTCTATGTGCGATTATGTTAATATGCATGAGATTTTAATAACGCGGTGCGCGCGAACGTTGAAAAACGCGCGCACTTCGTGCAAAACGCTCGTGCGCGCACGCGCACGCCCGTGTAACGTTGTTTCCGATGAACTTAAAATACACACATTTCGCAAGCTAATACATTAGGACGATAAGCTTAAAACACGCTCTACCTGGGTCTCTTTCTATCTCTCTCTCTCTCTCTCTATCTCTCTCTCTCTCCCTACCTGTTTCTCTCTCGCCCCCTCGCCCGACGAGAATACTCGTAATATTCATAAAAGCGGCAAACTGGACGAGACTCGCGTCGCGAGACAGCCTCATGATTGTAAAAGCCAAGTGTCGCGCGGAATAGATACATCCATTAATAATTTTAATGTTTAACAATCCAAGTAAAAGCATTTTCACAGCGGTAATCCGACCGAGTGAACGCTGGCTCGCGCGTTTCCCTTGACGGATTGGGACCGTGGGAAGCGCAGAATGCGAAATCGGTATATGCGATTCGAGATATTTACACATCTCGGTAAAGAACCAAAAGCAAAGCGCTTTTTCGGCTTCTCCGATAAATTGCGACCATCTTCCCGATCGGGTGATATAATCCTCGTAAAAGAAAGAGGAAAAAAAATCAACTACCTGCATGGCAGGATTACGCGGGAGATAATAGGGGGGG